GTTCTGGGTACACGTACTTTTCGGACGCTATAGCGGTGCCGAGGGGGAGACGAATGCTGCTAGGAGGGAGAAACAACGGGGAGTGCCGGGAGTGTGGATATGGGGAGGGGCAGGAAGGGGCCGTGTAAATTTTCGAGTCTGATGTGTATTTACGAAATATCACTTGATTCATTTGTACATAATTGCGTTAATTTCCTCTATTCTATTCGTGTGGGTCAGGTTTTGCTATGGTAGGAATAGTAAACTATTGGCGCCCAGCTTGCGAGCTGAGAGAGCTTCCGATCAATATTGCTATCACTAGTCTTGAATATTACCCGTGACACTCCCGGTATATAATTCCCTGCGCTGAGGATCGTTGTCGTGTAAGTTACCGGGCATGAACCCAAAAGATTTTAATGGCAAGTGTGACAAATGTTACTCTATGAATAGGTAAACCATCGACAGCTATCGGGGTCCACCATCAGATCGTAGTCTCTTGGTTTCTTCATTGTCTCCGATATCCACTCCATCATGCTCTATCTCTAATTGCAGGGTGGTCAAATTTCTACCTTGCCAGCGCGAGAAAAAGCTGCCGTAATGTAGAATATTCGTTACTCGATTATCCGCTAACTTACGATTCACGACCGTTTACGAAAATATTGTAGCCAAATGATAATGCACGTTCCAGATCACAAGTAGCGGAGAATCCTTCATAAATACTGAGAGGAGAAATTTGGATAGCTGAATTCGATATTGCATTAAATTTTACTGTTTTTTGAGTTATATAAGCTGTCATATGGAATTAGCTTGGAGGTTGCTGTGAGGGAGGCGAAAAGGGGGAAGAAGGTTGTCATGGAGGTTGCGTTGAACAGTTCAAGTTACCCGGCTGGGCGTGATTGGGGGGCTATATAGGGAGATGATTGCTTCCTTGCTATCATACAGCACGGGGGGAGGAGCTTGTGGTTTCTTTCCATGGGATTCTTTTTTCTTTACTTTTCTTCACTGGGTTTCTTTCTGAAAGGATTATCTGGAGATTGATTGTTCCTTTCAGCTGAATTGAGATAAGCTCCGGTGATTTTAGTTTCTTTTAAGAGGTTTGATTCAGATCCTGTTGGCTGGTTTCATTGTGACTGCGGACCTAGGATCCACTGACTACAGGAAATTTGTTTTTCAATACGTGGGGAGTTGGAAGGATCTATGATACTCCGGTCCTACATGCCATCAGGGGAAGTATGACCCTTCCGCGCTAGAATTTGACAACCCTTACCCCCTTTGGAGTAGGTGGTTCCCCCCCTCTTTTCCTTCTTTTGTATCCCATGGACTGATGAGACACGCAGATTCACGACCTTCCGTATAAGGTAACTCTATGCTGTGGCTAAGTGACTTCTCCACAAAATAACAAATCATATTTTATGAGGCGGAGTGACTTAGCCACAGCCATAGAGTTACCTTATACGGAAGGTCGTGAATCTGCGTGTCTCATCAGTCCATGGGATAGTAGGTGCTTTGTATCGCAAGACAGTCGTAGGATCCGAGACTTTGTACCCCGCTAGACTCGCATGAAGCAAGTATGATATGGTACTATACAGGTAGGTGCCTAGGCTGAATCCCTCTTCCTACCGGTAGGTACGGGGAACTGCTGAGCGGGTAATGGCGTGAATAGGGGGAATCGAGAATCTGTCCGACAGGAGGTATGATAGAACATTGGAGACCTATCATAGTTTGTGAGGAGGCTGTGGGTGGGGAAGGGGGGTCGGCGTGGATAAGATAGGAGGGGGTGGGAATCTTGAAGGAATAGGTATTGTACCGTACGTTGTGGGGAGGGGGAAATAAAAGGGAAAATGAAAATTTGAGACGCGGGGGCGAAAAGGGAAAGCTAGTGATAAGATAAGGCGGATTATCTTTCTGGGATACGATGTCTTCTTGCTCGGTTGCTCTGTCACGGCCAGGGCGGACGACGGCACGGCGTAGTCCAGGATAAAGGGTTCAGATCCTAGAAATCGGAAAATCTCCACGGGAACCGATCTGCCCCCCTGGCGGACTCGGGGGAGGGGAGTCGATGATTCTGTTTGCAGGGGTGGTGGTGTGAGGAAAAATCCTTGCCTCCAGCCATTGAGGTTCCGGGCACTACAAGCCGACACCGCAGCCAATAGACTAAATTTATCGAATGTGACTAACCTCAAACTCCTGGCAAAAACAACCTGAGAGCCGCAAAATTAACATAGCCCAGACTAACTCGATCAGGTCTCCTTTGGCGACATCACACCCAATGTGGTAATACGACTTGCCGAGTATCTTGCAAGTCCAAGTGCCAGGGATAATGTTTTCGCACAGTTAATTTAGGTTAACCCGCAAAATAATCCCTGTCCTGTATGAAAACATCTCCCCTGACACTTGTACTCGAGTACTACCGGTATTGCCTAATGTAAGACAGCCTGACTAGGTTGGGGGGATATCACCGGTTTAATAAGCTACCGTATTGTGAATTAACCCAAGTGTTGCCTCAGTTTCCTCGGAACACGAAATCAGGTGTGCCAAGGTACACTAAACCATTCTGGCCAGCGCTTGAATATACTCGTGGTTTGAGCTGAAAACATACTCCATCGCATACTCGAGTAGACTATCCGAACATTTTTCCAGATACATCCTACTCTACCGCAACTGGAAACCAAGCCCCAATAGTTTTCTGAAGTACAAAGTAGATCTCTCCAAACAATACGCCGCTATCGAAATCACAAAATTCAACCACTGTATCAAGTCGTTGCATGCGGCGGAGCTCCACCCTATCTCCAGCCAACGCAACCCGCCCGACCAGGAGACAGCGTGTTGCGGACCTTGGGCGAATCCAGTATCTCAGCAGCTTGAGTAGGTAAGAGAGAGTTGATGAATGGAAAACATCCTGCCACTTTGGAAAAGCGACCCCGGAAAGTTTTAGCGAGGTTTCGCCCCGATAGGCTAGTACCCGGATAATTGTGCTCGGACAAAAGGCCCCACCAAGTTTTCAGCTCAGACCCCAAAAAGCGGAGTCAACCTGTCCTGTTACAAAATAGCGCTGAATCACGTGGGGAGCGGCTGAGGGAGCTAGGGTAACACAGGTGCTAATTGGCAGTGGCAGGGGGGGGGGGGTGAGGGGGAGGGCGCATTACAGCTTGAGAGAGATTATTTCCGTGATGAGGAGGTATTGCTGTTCGCTGTGCAGAATAAACTACCGTATTGCTTGGGGTGCTAATTCGTGAAGCAAAGGGACTCAATTGGAAGAGTTTCATGGTTTGCTGTGTTGATAATCACATAACTTGATAGTTTGAGAGGAGCGCTGTACTAGTACTGTACTGCACTCTACGGAACAGTGCTCCATTGCGACCAACTACCGGGAAGGGGAGAGATAAAGTTATCACTATCTCGTCTGAATGAATTGACCCAATTGATGAGTGGAATTAGGGGGCACATTAACAAATACAATTGGCTTAACACTATCGGTAGTCCACTACAACTCGCCTAAGCCATTGTGCATGGTATTCGTGCTGACGAGGGTCAATGTGGTTATGATGTACCCTTCCCCCCTCATCACGATGCGTGCACTCTACATTCTACAGTTGATACGATGGTCAGGCCCATAAGGTGAACTGGTATATGGTGAAACTACTGGAGTGGCGCAATACGGTAGTTGGTGGAAGGATTATTTACTTCTAAACTCTTGTCTTTTTATGTAGTATACAATACGCGATATAGTGGAGCTGTGGTGAAGGTTAACAGCGGTATCGTAAGAACTTGAATAATTGAACCCCGGACTAGGACGTCCAGAATTTCCCCCCCTTGGATATAGGGCCGAGGGCACAGCGAAAATTGGCTCCCTGAGCCCCAGCTTAAGACAAAAAGAAGAGTAAGAATCACCGCACCATACGGACAGAGGCAACTCCAACGTCCATGCTCGCGCAATTGCTTAAGTTCTGACGGTACGGCGAATATTATTTTTTCTGTTCTTTTTTCTTTTTCCCGGAAATTGCTGGGACACACTTCTTGGAGCAAAAGGAGTTGGATCCCCCTATCTCGTTACTAAAGCTCTTACCCCCTAGGAACATAGTATTGGAAATCGGGAGGTGCTGGTGGCATGCTCTCACGATGGTTTGTTTGTTCGCATTGTCTCTGGGAAAGCGCTTTGGCTTCGGCATGCTCTTTTTCTTTCGTGCGTGTTTTTGGCTTTTCGGGAAAGCACTTCGGCTTCAGGAATGCACGGGAATTATTGGGTCTATGCATCCACCGGAAGGGAAACGGAAAGGCTATGAAGAGAGCGGAAAGGCCATGAGGAAGGCCGGAAAGTCAGACGTCCGGAGGCTATGGATAGTAGGAGTTTGTCTTTCCTGTGTTAGCCTTGCTTGCAAGTGAGAGGGAGACACACCTGGAGAGAAAAGAGTTGGTTGTTCCGTTGATATACACTCCCGTCTTTACCGTTAGTTGATATAGTGAGCAGCTGAAGTGAAGAGTTTTTCCCCACTCCTGAGTTGTGTGATTGATTCGTGTGAGAGATCTTGGCGTTTCGTTGGCCGTTTCGCCGTTCGTTTCGCCGTCGCTATTGCCTTCGTCGATCAACCTTTAATACTCGAGTACATAGTTAAATGGTTTGGATCTGGTCTGATTCTATTGTGCATTTAATGTGAATACGGTATTATACTTGTCCTGGGCTGTACTTTGAGGGTGGGTTATCGCACTTCGATGGGAAGGTTCAGCCAGGACGTTTTGTGAAACGTAACTATTTTAAGAAAGCATTTTTGCAGAGAGCGCAACCCCGCTTTCGTTAGGAGTTGACAGTACCCGTACGCAACCCTCGCCGCTACAACTGCGGCTCTATTCAGCAATCACATTCCCAAATAAGAAAGATCATCTCGGAGACCACCAGCATCCGTCCAAAAACTATGAACAACAACGACCGAAGCCGGTTCAACCAAAACTATAGTAGTTTCAATGTCACGAACTCGAATAACACTACCTACAATCACACAACGGTCAGCGACGAAGAACTGAGGATACTATCATGGATATCACCGTTGGAGTCATGGAAGAGACACCGTGATGTAGTTGGTACTCGTGTCAAAGGGATAGGAGAGTGGGTGTTGAAAACTGGCCAGTTTCAAGCGTGGCGGCGGGGTGGAAGCGACGAGACGGGTGGTAGGATTCTGTTTTGCCATGGGGCGCCCGGGGCAGGAAAGACTTTTATTTGGTAGGATCTGTGACCTTGTACATACTAAGTCGGTGCTAACCCAGTAATAGCTCCTTAGTTATAGATACGCTCTGCGATGGGACCGCGGGGCCGAATGTTGCAGTTGGTTGCCTATACTGCGATTACCGGGGGCAAAAAGAGCAAACGGCGGAAGTGATGATCGGGAGCCTTTTGAGGCAGTTTGTGACAGGGTTACCGGAGATTCCGGAAGCGATCAAGCAGGCGTTCCGGGAAGCGAAGAAACATCTTGGAGGGCGCCCCCTAGAGCTTGTAAAGACCATTGAACTATTCCAGGTCGTCCTCGGACACTTCCAGCGAGTATTCATTTGTGTCGATGCGCTGGATGAGATCGTGGCGGAATACGGCGCTCCATTTCTACGCTCCCTACGCCAGATCTTGGATCGATCACCGAATGTTAGACTGTTTCTCACAGCGAGGCCCCATATCCAATCAAAGGTGGAAGGTCACATCCCACTCAATGGAGGAATCATCGCCGTGCGGCCTCTGTGCAGTGACATCGAAAATTTCTTGGCAGCAAAGTTGGACACAGATCCATGCCCGGAAGCGATGGACGATGACTTGAGGTCAGAAATTATGACAAAAATTCCAGGGGAAGCTTCTGAAGTGTAAGTATGTCGCAACAACCTCGAGAACTTACAGCTGACTATGGGCCCAAGCTTCCTTCTAGCCAAGTTTCAGATCGATTCGATATTAGGAGAGATCACGATAGGTGGAAGACGGAAGAAGCTCCGGGAGGCCGCAAAAGACCTAAGCAATGCCTACACAGCAACTCTTCAGAGGATAAAAGGGCAGAACGGAGCCCTCGCGAGAATTGGGACTTCAGCATTGATGTGGATTTCCTTGGCTGAACGACCCTTGCTCGTCGATGAATTATGCCACGCGCTAGCTATGGAAGTTGGATCACCTAATATCGATGCTGAAATGATCCCTCCGATTCAAACTGTTGTAGCATCCTGTATGGGACTGGTCACCACTGACCCTGCATCATCCACGGTCCGTCTAGTACACGCAACTTTGGAGGAATATCTGCGGAGCCATCATGAAAATTTGTTTCAGAATGCCCATTCCACTATCACCGAGGTTTGCTTGAGCTATATGAGCATTCAATCGGTTCGGGAGCTCCCCCCAGATCTTACAACCGGCCCACCTGAATTCCCGCTTCTTGGATATGCGTCCTGTTACTGGGGAGGGCATGCCCGGAAGGAGCTTGCAGCCTCTGTAAGCCAACTTGCACTTCGAATTCTAGACCAATACCCTCAACACGCAGCTGCAAATATCTTTTTGCAGAACGGAGGATCCCCGCGGGTCTGGTCGTGTTTTAATTCAGAGGGATTTAGTGGACTACACTATGTTTCATACTGGGGAATCGACGAACTGGTGGAGAAAATGGTGAGCACAGATCAGGCAAATTTAAACAAAGGTGATAGCTGGGGCCGCACACCTCTCATTTTAGCTGCGGCAAGGGGCAATGAAGGGGTTGTAAGGAGCCTTATAAACTGCGCCGGTCTCGACCCCAACTGTGCCGATGAGGATGGCCGAACACCACTCAACCAAGCTTCTGCAAATGGTCATGAAGGAGTAGTAACGATGCTACTAAACTGCACCCGTGTCAGCCCCGACTCCGCCACCGGGGCTGGAGGAACGCCACTCCACCAAGCTTCTGCGAACGGCCATGAAGGGGTAGTAAGGATGCTACTAAGCCGTGACGAT